GTTGCGAGGACCTTGGCATTAGTTCGGGTAGCTCTGTGTATGTGAACGAGCACCTTTGCCCCGCGCTAAAAAAACTGCTGGGAGTGACTGTAGCAAAAAAGAAGGAATGCAACTGGAAATTCGTTTGGGTCCGAAACGGTAGCATATTTGCTCGTAAGGCTGAACAGACGCCGTTTCTGAAAGTAACGTGTGCTGATGACGTGTGCAAGATAACGGCGAGCTAGCAAAATTTTTTTTTTTTTTTTTTTGTTGTTGTCTCTTGAAAAACGATGTCTGAATCCTTCATTTCACCTTTTAAACTAAAAAATCTACTTGAAAATGAGTCTGCATTTCAAATGACAATTATCCACCTAAATGTTCGATCTGCAAGGAATAAGCACGATGACCTCGCTGTTTTGTTTGACTGCATTGGACCGAATATTGACGTCGTCATGCTAACTGAAACGTGGTACAGTTGTAGTGCTGATTACTTTCTGCTTCCGGGATATTCTCATTTCAACCTAAATAGAAATGATAGGCTAGGCGGTGGTGTTGCTATGTTGGTAAAAAATGAAAAAAATTGTGAGATATTAGAATCGTTCTGTGAAATTACTGATTTTTATGAGGTTGTAACTGTACGTTTCAAAAATACTCTGCTCTCCGTCGTATATAGGCCACCAAATTCTCCGGTCATACCATTTTTTAATTTTGCGGAGACATTGTTCAATTATGTCAATGATAACAATTACAAGGTAATCATGGGTGGTGACTTCAACATTGATATGATTTCGAACTCTGGCCAAAAAATCTCTTTCTCAAATCTTATTGCTTCAAATGGGTTGTCGAATATTATCACACATCCTACAAGAATAACAAATACGTCATCTTCTATGCTTGATTTGTTCATCACGAACTATGAAAAATCGGTGGTATCATCAGGTGTTCTTTCTACTGATATCAGTGATCATTTTTCCATTTATTTTTGCTTGTACAGTGAGCACTCCCAGAAAAACCGCAGTGACCCTGTTCCAATGGTTAAAATTCAGTCTATCACCCCTGATCAATTGCGTAGTTTTCGAGAAGAAATTGAAAAGACATCTTGGCAACATATTTTTTCAACAAAATCAACAAATTCCTCATATAATTTATTCCTCGATACATTTAGTGCAATTTATAGTAAACATTTTCCTTTTGTCAACCTCAAAGCATCTAAGAAGTCGCGTAGGCCTTGGGTCACGCCAAAGCTACTCTCAATGATACGGGTTAAGACTAATTTATATCAAAATTTTTTACGAACAAAAGAAATTAGCAAGCTTGAAACCTTTAAGAAATACCGCAACAAACTCACAAGTCTGCTAAGAAATGCTAAGCGTGACTACTACAATAATCTTTTCGATCCGTTAGAAACTAAGAAACCTGACGTTATGTGGAAGAAGATACGGTCAGTACTGAATCATAAGCCATTTCAAAACGTGCCCCATGAAATAAGTATAAACTCCATTAAAATAACAGGAGTGAACATGGCAAATGCTTTCAATAATTTCTTTGTAAATGTTGGTACTTCTGGTGTGTCATCGTTCTGCCTAAACAAAGTTCTAGATTTCATGCCAGTATCGTATACGAAATCGATGTTCCTATTCCCCACGGATGAGTCAGAAGTCTACTCGACCGTCATAAATCTTAAAAATAGCAAAAGCGTCGACGCTGATAACATGCAGGTAAAACCTATAAAATACGTCATTGATATTATTGCACCATATTTAACATACATATATAACCTCGCATTAGAAACAGGCTGTTTTCCCCTGAGAATGAAGGTATCAAAAATTAGTGTTCTTCATAAAGGTGGTGATAGGCTTGACATAAATAACTATAGGCCCATCTCAATCCTTCCTGTCTTTTCTAAATCACTTGAAAAACTAATACACAATAGACTCATAACACATCTTGATAAGCACGCTTTAATTTCCGATGCGCAATTCGGTTTTCGTAAACATCGATCTACCGAATTGGCTTTATTAAACCAGAAAGAACAAATTGTGAAAGATTTTGACGAAAGAAAGATGACACTAGGCGTCTTTCTTGATTACTCAAAAGCCTTTGATTCCATCGATCATGATATTTTACTTGCCAAATTACCATTTTTTGGAATAAGAGGCGTAGCACTCGATCTCATAAAATCATACTTAGAAAATAGGAATCAATACGTGTCTTTTCTGAATTTTCATTCGGACAGGCTTTCTATCAAATCGGGTGTTCCTCAGGGTAGCATTTTAGGCCCATTGCTATTTATACTATACATAAACGACATTGTGCATGTGGCCAAAAGCGATGATGTAAAGCTGATAATTTACGCTGATGATACAAGTATTTTTTTCTCCCATAACAATCTTTCTACTTCTATTTCTACAGTGCACGAAGTGCTAAAAAAAATCGCCGCCTGGACGCTTAACAACAAACTAAAATTAAACTGTAAAAAGACCAAAGCTATTTTGTTTAGGCCCAAAAATAGGAAAATAAATAACCTACCTCATGTTACAATAAACAATGAAGAAATTGAGTTTGTGGATTGTATTAAAACTTTGGGTGTGTTGTTTTCTTATGATATGAGCTGGAATGCACACATAGACTACATGCAAGCAAAAATATCTAAAAATGTAGGCCTGCTTACAAGATTTAAAAGTTTACTTCCTACTCGAATTAAATTAACTATATATAATACATTAATTTCTTCTCACTTAAATTACTGTAACCTGATATGGGGCACCACAACAAAAAGTAATCTGAATAAGTTGCATCTATTACAAAAGAAGGCCGTACGTGCAATTTCAGGAACTCCATTTCTTCATCCAACTAAATCACTATTTAAATCCCTAAATGTCAAAACCGTTGAGCAAATGTATCCTTACAAGCTTCTGTCAACGTATCGCAGGGCTCTTCAACACAATAATGTTCATTTTATTAAACTAGTCAACCTAAAACATCGCGTCATCCTACGCAACCTAAGACAAAATGAACCCTGGATGATTCGCCCAACGCGTACAAATTACCTAAATCAGACGCTCCATTTCAGATTGTCCACCATGTTAAATAGTTTGTACAGAAAAGGTCGCCATTTTGAATCACTATCACATAGGGAATTAAAAGAACTTACTTTTCTAGGCGATTTTTGAATACTGCTGATATTTTTCGTTATGAACTGGATGTATTATTTCATGTACGATTGTATCATTGCTTTAATTATTCGAGTTCTTCTTTCACTGGCCTGTGTGTTTTTCGTCTATATGTTTTCAACAAATTTAGTATTGTATAAATCAAGTTTCTGCATTGGTGTGTACTAGTCTCTGTACACTGTGTAGTTGTAAACTAAATTTTAGTCGTTAAATTGTTTGAAGCTGTCGCAAACTGTACGGGGGCTGGGACCCTTGTCAAGCTGCTCTTTAGCAGCTTTTTGCCCCAGTCCCTGTTGTCATGTAAAATGTGACAACGAATAAATTTGATTTGATTGATTTGATTTGATACCGTGAAGCCGAAAAGCTGTCCTTACACTAGTGCGACAACGGATCGACAATCACTATGAAATGTCGAAAGCATAACTAAAAGCGTGTGCTGGCCGCAGACATGAGAGAATGTATGGTTCATATTCAAAGAAATGTTTCGCTCTTCGATTATTTCTCGTGGTTTGAGGCCGTTCTACGTTTTTAAATAATTCAAGAAACCATTCGTCATCGATACCGCTCCGCAAAGCAAAGCAACTTGTCATGGCCGCAAAGGTGGCTAAGCACCTTTGCTGCCTAGCCGCAGAGCCCAACCGTAATCAGCTCCGGCATGCTGTCACATAAAGTAGTGACGCAAATATCGTCATTGACACGTGCATCCCCGGTGTAAAGGGGGTTGTCCTTCTGGCGGACTTCACGCGTTTGGTTTTGGTATCGGCTGGCACCAAGCTGGTTTCCAGAGACAATTTTGGAGATGGATATCTCAAATCACGCTCTTGATTCAGAATTAAAAAAAAAATAATTAGCTCGAGCTTTAAGGAAATCTAATTTCACAATGTAAACCTGTGTCCTAAAGCTAATAAATCGAGATTTAATTATTATTTTTTGTTAATTAATTATTTTTCACCTTCATTCCTTGTGGAACATTGTGTCCCCCTGGCCATGTAACTCATCTGAATAAACTGTATATTTGTAAATTTCTACTTTTTCTTAAATATAAATCTCTTAACAATAAAAAAAAAATATATAAAAGCTTCGCTACGTCTTGGATTGTCGGCTGGAGGCAGCCAGCCTAGCTCATCTGGTAACAAAGGGCTTTGACAAAAATATGTCCTGGGTGGGGAATATAAAACTCACGTGACCCCCAAATGGTCTCCATTAGGACAAGCCAGAAGGTTCCCGAGTGGCGAGAGCTCCACGCACACTTCGTACCAACTTGAACGGTTCAATGCCTTTGAAGCTCAAATACAATTAGCGCCATCATGCAGGACGTAATGCCCCTTTATTAAAGAAAATGACCGCATCTCCACGTTGTGAATGATGTTGATTGGGGCGAAGCTCTGGTGGTGCTGATGATGCTGATTTTTTTGTTCATAGGTAGTGCTGATGGTGCTGATTTTTTTATTGCTCAAAGGTAGTGCTGAGTTCCGGGTTGCGTTTCGACTTCATTATTACTGCTTTATGGTCGGTGAAATGCAGAGCCAGTGGTTTTTCTAGCGAATCAGCTTGGATCCGCTAGAAGCCGTGGGAACGCATGTTCACCGCTTAAGTCAACGGTCCATGTCAGAAAGAGAATGTGTGGTATGGAACGTGGTTATATACGCATTTGAGCATTTGACCGCAGCACCCTCTCGTCTATAAACGTTGAGCCAGAGCATGCAAAATTTAACGCGATTATATACGCATTTGACCGCAGCGCCTTCTCCTGTATAGACGTTGAGCGGCTACATGCAACGTTTCATCCATGACAGAAACCCCAGCTCTTGAGTTACTACCATATCTCAGAGCCCCCCTACTCGTCCCGTAGTCGTGGCCGAGTGATTAAGGTGATGAACTTGAAATCCATTGGGGTCTCCCCGCACAGCTTCAAATCCTGTCGACTGCGGAAAAAATTTTTTCCTTTTTATGTGAGCACGGACGCCGGACGGACGGACGGACGGACAAGGTTAGACCCTAAGGAGCTTCGTCCCTAAAAGTTCGCCAAATCGTGAGTACATGTACGAGAGCTACGGCGCGATATAACGCAATGAGACGGGTTCGAGCAACGCTGATGTAGTTTGTGCTTTTCGAGGTTTCTTTCATTTGAGCGCAATGCACTCTTGCATATTACGATATGGTTCGGTTCCAGTGCGCCTTAAACAGGGTGCATTAAATTTGGCAGCAATTATCGCCACTCGAGAAAAGCGGGCGGAAAAATAACTGATTACAGGTTTCACGGAAATTCAGGCAGATACTTTTTCATTGCCCTCAAAAGTTCTTTGCTTCTGCGGATTAGCCGTAGAACGTATATTCTTCATACAGGCCGTTTTTTTTTGTTGTTTTCTTTCCCCTTAAGTCCAGACGCAGCCGACAAACCGAGGTGATGGGGCCCATCATACAGCGTCAAAAGCGCACCATCTGGTGCTTCTCGTGGTTCTGTGCGTGTTATATCACCGCTGAACCAATCATCAATAGAAAAGGCCGAATGAGTTGCGAGTGTTCCCAATTCGTCGCTTGCGCATCCGAACGCAAAGAGGGGAAGGCCAATTGAAATGGCCATATAGAGAACACTCAGGGACCGTGCGAGGACGAGGCAGCGAAGCGCGTGCCGTGATTGCCTGAGGTTGGCAGAAACAAAAGCAGGTCGGCTGATTTGGGGGGCAATCAAGCGCACGAGGCGCGTAAAGAGCAGACAAATTTGCATGGCGTATTGCGGTTAAAACGGAACGTTACATTCGTAACGTTTGACTACGGGCGGAAAATCCTGCTTCTCGAGTGCCCTATCACAAGCGAGGCATGAAAATCCACACAACTAATTATTCGTTCAAACTATCACCTTATTGACAGCCAATTCTGGCTTCCAAATATTTTATCTTTCCCAGTGCCTTTATCAGAAGCTCGATGATCAGTCGTGCGCTGACCATGCACGGATGCGAGAGATTAGCTTTCGATGGCTGAGTGCGTGTACAATTTCGTCTGCATTATGTCCTCTGCCCTATAACTTTTGTGGAGAAAAGCTCTACACATAAACATGAGGTAGTCACCTATAGACTTCTAATAAGAAGTCATCTTTATCCGAAATGACTACTCAGCCCAGACGTTAGGAAAACGGGCACTACGACAAGGTGCTAAACCCGCTACAGAGAGTGGAAAGAAGGTTTATCTGGAAGGCGACAAACTTGGCGTCAATGCATATACTACATGTGGCATGACGCTTCCAATTCACGAATCCCTCTGCAGGGAGACACATCATCGGTGAGATAACGGTTCTATCTCCTGAGGCCCAAGTTGTGCATACTTTCTTTGGATAGCAAAAGCACTGTAAGCAGAGCTTAAAATTCAGGAATTTTGCTTCTTTCGTATGATCAGCGCGGGGTCATTCCAGCGGAAACTTGGCTAGACGACAATATCCTTCAAAATGAAGTTATTCATCTTAGTTAGCATTTGTGTAGGAGATATTGTGGTTCACGAGGTGGAGGAGTAGATTTAAACTGGGCAAATTTGTAACCGATGACAAATAAATAGCTCAGGAAACGTTCAATGCGCATTTAGTAATTACAATGGGCATTTCATGAATAACTCACCTATTAATACAATATAAGCTATAATTATATTAATTCCAGAAGATGGAGTTTTGTTAATCATAAGCAAACTAATGCAGACGACCTCGATTTGGTCGTCTGCATCGCCATCTGCCGTTTACCCTGGCAAGTTTCTTGGCCCTATGTATCAAAGAAAGAGAGTTACACTTTCTAAGTTTACAAGAAAAACAGTCCTGTGAAGTACACCTTTGACGAAAAGTTTATGTCGCGACATGCAGGCGTCAATTTTCACACCTATTTTAGATTGAGCCTGGTGACTTGGGACATCGATACATTCAAATGTTATTGAGACGTCGTCCTGAGGCGTCGTCCTGTCTTGAGACGTCGTCCTGTTTATTTTCTGTGCCTTCTACGTCTTGATGTTTCTTCTCTACCCCAGTCTCAGGTTAATTCAACATGGTTAACATTCCCCAGCTCGCCTGCACCTTCACGATTTCTGTTATTGATATTGTAAAAAAAAAACACTTAACTGAAGTACTGTGAGCCAGAGTTGCTCAATATTGTTTACACACATAGTTAACAAAGGTATGTTTCGAACGAAGCTAGATTATTGCTGGTTACTATTTCTTGGGGAGGAGCGTTCCACTCTGCTACTGTTCTGGGAACGAAGTTCAATTTTTAAGTTTCATTATTTGCCCTTTCTAATAGATTGGACTGAAATGGGCACGTCTTAGTGTTCTGGATAAGCGAGACATCATATAGAGAGATATTTTAATGTTAAACTTGCAGTTACTAACCATAAACAAGAATTTTAAACGTGCTATTTTCCGACGGTCTGAGAGTGGTGGGAGATTGAACTGCGTAAGCAATTCCGTTACCAATTCAGTTGTCCGATAGTTGGATAGTATAAATCGGGCTGCCATCCTTCGTACAATTTTAGCTTCGTTTACCTGGTATGCTCTATAGGTGTGCCATATACCGGAAGCATCTTCTGATGCGACCGTAATAATATACTGTAAGGAATTATTTGTGTCTCGGAGGTAGCAAACTTAAAGGTTGCGCTTAAGAACTAAAGGTTCTTCCTGGCTGTAAAGGAAATATTATATATGTGCGTGTTCTAGTTTAAGCAAAAAGATGTTTTAACACCAATATGTTTTAATTGAGAAACTTAGGTAAAAGGTTGATTATCGCATCAGTACAGAAACGAAATAAAGTTTTTCTTCTTTTTAGTGATGGCATAGAGCACTGTCCTGTCGCAATTAACTTTTATTTTTCATTGCTTACACCACTTTTTTACCAGCTCTAAGAAAGAGGTTAAATGTACCTGATCATTGTGGCAAGAGATATTTTAGTACATCAAGGAATCATCGGCGAACAAGGGAGAGTACATTTGACCCATTTTTTTTTGGCTATATCATTTATATAGCACGAACATTTCGGGTCCCAAAACAGACCCCTGTGGAACTGCAAAGAATACTTTTACAATACATGATTTTGAAGTATTTATTTGTACAAACTGTGTTCTGTTTGCGCAATAAGCTTTAATCTATCACACAATCTTTTTGTTTGCCCCCAGATTCAGTAAATTCTAAATAACCTCTGCGTGAGGCACCCGGTCAAAAATATACGACAGATCTAAACATATTGCATCAATCTGTCTTCTATTGTTTACTGATTTGGCAAAACCATGCAAAGTTTCAGCGATTTCCGTCACACTCTACAATGTTCTTAGAAAGCCATAGTAGTTAGATAAAAACAGTTTTGATTTCTAAAAATAGGGTAATAGATACAATGTTCTCGAGTAACTTCCAGCATTCACACGTAAGCGATATAGGTCTATATTTTTCAACCTGAATGTTATCTCCAGATTTGTACACTGGTACGGTCCTTGCTATAAGCCTGTCCGAACTTACCTCATGCCGTTCGAAACCTTCGCTGTAGATGACGAATAAATATCTAAAAATCCACTCTGCGTAACACTTTAAATATGGGGTAGAAATTTCGCCTGGTCCCACGGATTTGTTTGCGTTAATCTCTAAAAGCAAAGAAAGAATGATTCGCTCGGATGTATCCAGGGTCTGGCATAGCCGAAACCCGTTTAACAGTCATGTTTCCAGCGCGACAAAATATGTTACCACTCTCCGCCAAAAACAAAATGGAAGAACATATTAAACATATTTGTTATTTTGCTGGAATTAGTAACGTCGTGTTCATTATCAGTAACATAATCCACACACTCCCTTGACGGTGCGAGATGACGCCACTATTTTTGTGGTGATGTCCTCATAATTTCATGCGTATACTATAAAAAAACATTTTTTCTTTTGCATTTTATAGCTTGCTTTTAAATGTACGGGTTAAGTGTTCGACAGCGTTGTTGTTACTTTTTTTTTTTTTGCGGTTCCGGGATATTTTATTTTTTAGATGAATTATTTCTGGGATCATCCACGGGTTTTGTTTTGCCCCTCATTCGCCCTTTTTGCAACAAATCTTTCGAGACAGTAAGATGTTAATGCCTTGAGTATGTCCTATAAATTATTTGAATGTTCCATCTTCACAAGGAAATAAGGGTTTAATTCTATACGGTCTCCAATAATAATGTAATGAGCATGATCAAAATCATACACTTGCTTGGTTAGGCACTGCACTCCTATATGTCGCAGCGACATTGCGGGAAAGCAACACAAGTTTATGATCCGAGAGTTGCTTAGGGAGTCCTTTTTACGTTGTCCATTTGTTAATTGGAGAGGACCGTACGTACAATGCGGAACACAACTTGTTACTGTTCATTGTTCTGTTTAAAAAAAAAAGTATTGTTGGTATGTCAGGGGAGGGTGCTATGACGACTGCTTTGCTTAATTTATATAAATGATCTTTAGTGTAGTTTTAGTATGCGTCAACGAGACTATTTACAAACTATTGTATTGATATTAAAAAAATATTGCTGCCGACGGCCATGATGTGCTTCAAAACTTAATTCTTAAAATTGATCTTTAGAGTAACAAGAGACAAATGTATCTGTATATAGACAAAACCGTTATTTTGCGAATCACATGTAACAAACATATCAGCTAATTTTAGTGTCTCCTTCCCATTTTTAATATTCTTGAAGCTACAGAATATCATAACGTCGATGTAACCCTACTAACTACTCAACTTCAACAACACACTTTTCAGATATTTGTTTCTCTTCATTCACAAACCTGTATTATCTAACTGTAAAATTCAAACTCGCCCGCCGCACCAATAAGCGTCTGGTACACAACACTTTCCTTACGTCTGTAGTCGACTAGGCATAGGTAGGTCATATGATAGCCATATAATAAAAAAAAGATATATCCAGAACCTTGAAATATTTTGAAGA